GCGCTGTGGCTCAAGTGGTAGAGTGCTAGCCTTGAGCTGAAGAGCTGAGGGACAGCGCCCAGGCCCAGAGTTCAGGCCCCACGACCGGAACCCCCTCCCCCGCAAAAAAAAGTATTTTCTCCTGTTTTTCTAAGGGTATTTAGAAATATGAGTTGTTTTAAATTTTTGTCAAATTAACAAATATGCAAGATTTAAAAATCAAATAATACAGGGCTTTGAGCAGAGACACCCTCTCTCTCTCTCTCTCTCTCTTTTTGGTCGGTTGTGGGGGATTGAACTGTGGGCCTGAGCATTGTCCTTCAGCTCTACAGCTCAAGGCTAGCGCTCTACCACTTGAACTACAGCACCACTTCTGGTTTTCTGGTGGTTTACTGGAGATAGTTTCATGGACTTTCCTGCTGGGCTGGCTTTGAACTGTGATCCTCAGATCTCAGCCTCCTGAGTAGCTAGGATTGCAGGCATGAGCCACTGGTGCTTGGCTGAGACACTCTCTTTTATCTTCCTGTTTTTAGTGGTAAACCATTTTTTACTGGGATTTTTCCCCCTTGACATTATTTCCATATGTAAGTACACACTCATATCCTTCCTTCAGTAGAGAATTATTTCTGTGGAGCTTCTTCCCTTGGCAGCAGAAAATTTAGCTTATTTATTAACAATAAACATAAATACAATTAATAAAATAAATATTCATAAGCTTCTCTTCTTTCTGTCTAAGGTAGTTATATCCCTATTTTTGTTCCTCTATTGGTTACAGTCATAATAACAGGATAAACTCATATATTTCTTGTTTTATTCACTTATGGGCAATAATCTTAATGACTCTTGTTCTATATTTCCCTTCAGCTCCTTACCTCTCTTCCTTGTCATCCATTTTTTTTTTTTCTGTTGATCTTGGGGCTTAAACCCTGGGCCTGAGCGCTGTCTCTCAGCTCTTCAGCTCAAGGCAGGCTACCACTTGAGCCACAGCGCCACTTCTGATTTTCTGGTGTTTTTTTTGGACATGAAACTTTCACCAAGCCGGGCGCTGGTGGCTCACGCCTGTAATCCTAGCTACTCAGGAGGCTGAGATCTGAGGATCACGGCTCAAAGCCAGCCGGGGCAGGAGAGACTGTGAGATTCCTATCTCCAATAAACCACCAGAAAACCGGAAGTGGCGCTGTGGCTCAAGTGGTAGAGCGCTCGCCTTGAGCTGAAGAGCTGAGGGACAGCGCC